TGGTTCAGCTGTTGAGTAAGCAACATTATGAGGCACAATGACATAAATTCTGTAGTTACTCTAATACTGACACTGAAGCCTTAGGTATTGGCAGATGCCAATATCAAATTTGTAATTTAAATACTATGCTAAAAATGATCATTAAAAGTACCATGTTTGGGACTCCAGAGTGGCGCAACTATCTAAGCGTTGGCCCTCTTGTCAGGAGATCACAAGTTCGATCCCTGGTAATGCTATAGCCATCTGTAGCCGGGAGTCCAAGAAAGCACAATTGGCCTCGCTCTCTCTGGGTGGGAAGGATGGCACCCCCTTCTCCCCTCGTTGGTGCTTTTGTCCAAGCACGTTCAGCTGTGCAGTGATGTTGTATTAGTGGCAATTTGAAGAGATGTGGTGGCACTTCACAGGCCTTGGAGGAAGCCTCTACTAGCTTTTGCCTCCTAGCGCTGGTGGTATCGTGTGATTAGGCGAGTCCTAACTAGCGGTTGAAATTGAATACGTGAAAATTTAAGATAAAAATCCCAAAAAAATTCAGAACATAAGACATAACAGCAGCTTTTCAAAAACTCTCCAAAAAATAATAATCCACACAAATATCATAATTCCAGTATAACACTTTGCCAGCTAGTCTTTTTTACGTAAAAGTTACAGGCTACATGCGGCTTCTATTTATATTATGTGACCTAGTCTATTTTATGTTGTGGTATAAACAAGTATGTGATATTTCAGGAATTGTACTGAATTTGTTCTTTTTCCCTCTATTATGTAATTCAGCATACCAGCAAAACACCAAAAATACTCATAACTGCTCCTTTGGCTTTTTTCCCTGCAGGATCATGTGCTGAAAGCGTTACACGCCAACAGCAGGCCAACATGTGATGTTTCATGCTAGCATGTGTGTGTTTGTGCTTGTGCAGTGAGACGAAAGGGAGATTATCTGGCATGCCCTTTTTCTCTGGGACATGAACCCATTTACCCAGCACTGGAAATGATGCACTCATTAGCGATGAGCCTCTTGCAACTACAATACTTTATATAAACAAGAGACACACTTTAGCTTATGGGTGCATGATTAATAGTACTCTTATCATCATGGTTATGTGAGTTTCTGCAATAAACACAATGCATAGGGCTGCGATAACAAAACTAATCAAATCACACACACGTCACAAGAGTGATGTAATTAAATTCAAATGAGTGTAGCGTTAGGAGCAGTGGTGTGCTTGCCTCAGTAAGTAAAAATACTTAAATGACATGACCACTTTTGTATAAAATGTGTCAAGCAGTGGTGGCTACTGTCAATGGGCAACACAACATATCTGCACCACTTTAAGAAGCTTTTAAAGAAACTATTTATGCATTTATTTGTTTTTGTAGGCCTTGAAATTACTTTAAAATGACTTTTTCTAACAGCCTTACAATGCACCAAAAATTTGGTTGCAGTTTGCTTGCAGTAACATTTTTTTTCATATATTGTATATTTGAATTATAATTTTTTGCTTCTCATATAATCCCAATTATCCAGCAACTTTTGTCGCACATCGCATTTTACATCCATAACGTAGTTCTACTCAAGCTTAAGTAACCAAATGAGGCAAGAAAGCACCTAAATGATCTTGTGATCTGTCTACTTTTTAATTCCATGGGGGCTACATTGGGCCAATGGGGCATGTGTGGTTATGCAGAAAGAGGCAGAGGGATGTGTCTCAGCAGCCTAGCGGAGTAGGCAGGTCAGAACAAGACTTGCAGTACCTGATGCCTGGTGGAACATCATCCACCCACGTGCTGGTAATGGCTAAACTGCCCTACCTGCACGTCCTTCCCTCTACCTCCCTCTCTTCAAATCTTGACAAGGACATGGATAGACATCTGTTTGAAGCACAAAATGTGCCAGAACAGTTGCAGTTTGTGTTCTTTTTGGAATGATATCAAGCCACTCGGCTGATATCAGCGTTCAGTATGTGGAGTAAATGAGCCACAAGGCGAGAGCAAATAAACAACTACTGTAGATACCACTATTAATCTACACAAGTTCACTGCTTATGGGTGAGTGCGGTCACACAAAAACATTACTAGCAGTTATGCAGCATGTGCATGGGTTTGACAACCCATAGAAAGATGACTGGAGAACAGTTAAGTACTGACTGGGGAGAAACAAAAGGATATTAAGCACTGTCCTTGTTTGCTTTTGTAAACCCCTCCCGCACTGAAAGACAATAAATGCAGACTCCATTACTGGAGGGTTGACTGAGGGGTTACTATGTGTGTGAAGCAGGGGTGGCCTTGGATGGCTCATTATGTAATCTATTTCTCCAATCTGAGCTTCACTCACAACTGGCCTCATGGCACCGCCAGCTAAATTAGGGTGACCAGACAGCCTTGTTTTGAGTGAACAGTACCCATTTTTCAAAACTCTGCAGCAGATTCTAGTTTAAAAAAAAACACTCTGTTTGACAGGTGGCGAGCCTGAGCTGTAATAGTAAATGGCTGTGATGGTAAATCCTTTAGCTGAAAGTGCAAAATGGTGATCATTCAGATGTTCAGCAGTATCTCATTTGGGAAATCTCCAACCTCGGTCTTCAGCTCAGATATGAGGCTGCACCTGAAACCTGCTGTAATTCTAGCTCTGAATGCTCGACATTCACTTGCTGTCAACAATTTATCGTTATCAAGCACATATGATTCAAAACGCCTAAGCTAGCGAAAAGTTGCCTACTAAAATGTTTCCTTTTGTTTGTCTCTTATGATGTATATGAATAAAGAAGACAATTCAAATTATTCACGCCGTATAATACAATAATACAAACATACATGCCCAAAATTGATCAGGGGAAAAATACCAAATGCCAGCCCTTACCTACACTTACCATCCACTTTGTTAGAAACTGTACTCATAAGTAGTCTGACCACTGAGTGGTAGTGGCATAGCATGTGTGTACTGGTATGAGTGTATCAGGCACAGTGGTCTTGCAGATGTTTTGTTGCATTGCTAGTTTGAGAGAGGTACACCACCCAAAAAGAAGGTCTGTGGCATGACCAGAGCAATTATTATAATCCATATGTAACACCTTTAACTTTGTTTTCTCTAATGTTCATGGTCCCTGACAAAGGGCTGCTAAAAATATAACAACAAATATATCACTCAGTGTGTTTACAGAGAATTTTTTGGGGGAGTAAACTGTTTGTCTAAGGAACAGCTTAATCATATACAACTATGCAACATTAATTATGTGATTTACATGAGCGGGGTCATCACAACAGCTTGACACTGCCGTCAATGTTACATCTGAACTAATTTACACTTCATTTAATTATACAAAATTAAATAAATTACAAGATTAGACATGGATCTGACACATTTGACTTGGTAGCCTAGGGACTGTATGAAATCTATATATCTAGTTATTTCTCTTCATAAAAGGAAAAGCAGCCTTTCAATATGCACACATGCATGTGCATGCGCATGTACCTGCACACACATAGACACACACACACATACACACACACACACACACACACACACACACACACACACACACACACAATTGAGGCTCAGTGTGTGCCATTCAGTAGGACTTTGCTAGCCTAGCCGGGTCAGAAGAAAACCTTGTATCCCCAAAATGGTAACTTTACAGGAGAAGGAAAAAACCTACTTTACTTTTAATGTAAGTCAATGGAACCAGAATTTTTTTCAAGTCAATTTGGGTCATTTCGTTTAGTCCATTCATCCTGAAATTTACACACAATGTAAAGGGTACCAGGTATTTTCAAATTATGTCAAAAACTGACAAACGTCAAAAATGGAGATACAAGGTTTTCTTACAGCATGGAATGAGGCCCAGAGATGCTGGACAAAGATGCAGGGAAAGATGGAGAATGATACAAAGAAGGTGCAAAAGCACTGCGTGAAACAAGTAAAAAAAGGCTGAAAGGGCAGAGACATATGCATCAGAATGCAGAACAGAGAGATGGGTAGGGTGGGTAGGGTAAAAAAGTTAAAAAGTTCAAAAAGCATGACAAGAAAAAATTAGAGCAGGTTGAACAAAAAGCCTGAAATACAGTGGAGGGACATCTAATAAGAGACAGACATGGATGGCAGAAATAGAGAAAGAGTGAAGGAAAGTGTGAGCAGGGGCAGAGCAGAACAGATGGCACCAAGCAAGCCCTCGCTGCTAAAATCGTCTTCATGCTGGCGGTTTGAAATGCTAATATAAAATTTTTAATTTGCATGGGGCTCCTATTCTAGCCTCCCCAAACCCTTTCTACCCTCCCTCTCCCCTCCCTCCTTGCTTAGCACTTAAAATCTCATCTATAATTCAGTGTGCTAAATAAAGGCGTTACAATGAGATGAAATGAATACATGGGGCCTGATCATTCTTTCTTTTTTTCAAATAGGGCATAAACACTTCTAATGTGTCAGTGTGGCTAAATTTCCTCATGCATCTCTTTCCTTTTAGATAAAAGCTGTTAACTTACCTTTATCAGAAACAACAGTCTGATATGTGCTGATATAGAGGGTCTATCAGGTGTAGATATTAGCAATTTGGCAATATTTCTCCTTTGAACACAAAAAAGACTGCAATATGCAAATAAACCTCAAACAAATAACTACCCTTTTATTTATTGTGTGCTGTAGCACTTGGTTTAAATTCACAGAAACTATATACTTCTGGAATTGATTTTTTGTTTGTTTGTTTTGCCCTTTGTGAGGTTCCCTATGATGTAACGTTAAAAAGAGTGGAACAGAACAAACCAGTCCAAACACAAGCTATGTCAGATTTGTAAGACATTATTTAAAATAGATTACAAGAGCTCATTAATGCTATATAAATATCATCTGATACCATGGCATATTTGGAAAATATCATGATAGTGTTTTTTTTTTTACACTGCACTGATTCATTAATGTGTTTTTAATATATTGCAAGGCACATCTCAATATGACCATCACTATTTATGATGTTCCAGAGTCAGGAACAGTATTCTTTAAGAGTAAGTCTTACCTGTGGGAATGTGGTCAAAGGCTGACGGCTTCAGGAGCTCCACAGGCTGCTCCATCTGTGAATCTGTGTGGGAAAAGACAAAAGAGAGAGAAAGAGAGAGAGAGCGCTTACCTTTAGATCACTCAGTCCAAATCACTTAGCTTAGACAGACCCAGAAAAGCAGCCAATTACACAAAATGGCAAATGAGAAGCGCGCTCACTGTGGGCAGCAGTCACTGAAGAAAGTGACCCTTCCTTGTGGTTCATGTGGAAGTTTGAGTGCTAATGAGGGGAAAGAAAGAGCGACGCCAGCACACTAAGCATAGCAGAGGCTAATCAAATGGCGGATTAAAGACAGATCGATAAACGCGTTCGTGATTTGATAGAAAACAGCACATGTCCATGAAGCAGCAATAGGAACACTGCCCCCGTCTCCTCCTCCTGCAGACCGGGCACCACAGTGGTAATTACTATGAGAACATGAAAAGGCTTTCATGGTCTCCCAGCAGCCCCAGCGCAGCAAGACTTGGCTATAAATAACCCGGAGAGAGAGAGAAAGAGAGAGAGAGAGAGCAAGCAAGAGAGAGAGGCAGAGAAACAGAGGAGAGCATCAGTATGCAAGGAGGCATACAGACCAAGCCGCACAATCAGTCCCTTTCCAATAACACACCAAGTGCAAAATTTAAGCTCACACGCTTAGCCTCTTTCGGGGCTCTGCCGGTTAAAATAATCTGTTTCTTTTCCCTCTGTAATATTTTTCTGCTCGATCTGTTTATCTATCTTTCTTTTAATGCATGCTGAGAACAAAGTAAATCAGGAAAAAACAAGGGGGCACCTTTCAAAAGAAAAGAGGAAACTTCACGTTGTTCTCCCAGGGTTCCACACGCCCTACCCAAGATCTATTTTGGAGAATTATCATAGGATGCATGATCCCTAAGCAAATACTGTGATGCTCTTCTAATTAGCCCCACGATAATGAAGAATACTGCATGCATCGGTGAGCAGAAGGGTGTATGTGTGTGTGTGTGTGTGTGTGTGTGTGTGTGTGTCTATTTTTAGCAGCACACAATCCAGGGGCTGCCTTTGTCTCGGATCACCCAGAGTCTGCTCAGCCTTGAAGGTAAAGCCACATTTATGCTATTGCTGAAGTCAAACTGCTGGAGTTTGACTAGGCTTTGAAATGGGGCCGGTCGCAAAGTACACTCTACTAACTGCTGGCAAAAATCTTCACCTTAGTCACAGAGGCTGCTGGGCTGGACTTGGCATCAATTGACTTTGTTTTTTCTTGCATCCTAGGGCAACCTTTGATTTTATTTTAACCACACTCATTTGCATCGTGGGCCTTAACAAGTTTCCTACTTGTAAGGAATTGCAAATTTGAAGAGGCCTAAGAATAGCTGTGCACTTCAATCTTGCAGCTCATGCACAGACAGAAAGAATGGCCAATTAATCTGTGGCTACAACATACACAGGCACTGGTCTATGGTGATTTGCATGGGAAATACAGTGTACAAGTCCAAACACAGCGATTGAGGAGGGTTAAAAATTGATATCTGCAATTGATATGCTGTGGTTACCAGTGCCAAGTAGAGAGCAGGGTCCACTTTGCATGGCCATCTTCGTTTGACCGAGGCGCTGTACCTGCCTAATGCTGTAGGAAATTCAAGCCCTGTATTGTAGAGTGGATACATGCATAGCAAGCCACAGCACAATTAAACAAAATATGATTTGTATAGTTATGGAAATTATAGCAATGCTCGGCCAAAGCAGCTGCAGCCACAGTGCGTGGTGAGACTATTTAAACAGGGGTATCGTATTGCAAAAAACATTCAGTGGTTGATTTCACTGGTACAGAGAAATTTTAATACATCAATGAGGTATCAACTTTCCTAGGCGCTCCACATTTATAGCTGATAGTTAGCATGAGCAAGAGGAGTCTTATTACCTGTACACTGGTAATTGAGAGTAGGAGAGTGTTTTTTTTATTTAAAGCTAATGTCATTATCAGCTGTAAAAGCTTTTTTGGTGTTTAAATGTGGCCTAATAAAGAAATGAGCTAATAGGGTTGGTGGTAAAATCACTGTAACAGCATTGATTTTATAAACCAGACAAAATACAAAATAAGTACATGCACCAATGTTCAAATAATAATTTAGTTTATTACTAACAACTTGAAGTTCAACCAAAGTACCAATTCTTTATGCATCAACGTTACAATTCTTTACTTTTTTGATTATTATTTGACTATATTGATCTCTTAGCTGCTATTATCCATTTTGCAAGTTTTGCAAGAATTTAGTAACTATAGCCAACACATTATTTTTCATGTAAGCTGTATTTTGAAGAATTGTGACAATTGTCAGCTCAAATGTCAATTACAAGCCAAAATATCATGGTTCCCAATTTGCCTTTGTCCCACCTATTCTGTTATTCTCCAGGCAGACATTATGTCTCTTCCCATTTCCTGGCTTCCCTTTTCATCCTTCTAATTAACCTCGGGATGTCATTTTGAATTTAATGCTCCATCAAAAAGCTCTTACTTCACAGACATATGATTGTCTTATGTCAATTGACACCCATTCAATTAGCAAAACTCAATCTGCCGAGGAACAAAAAATTAGTGTTGAGGTTACAGAGTACTGTGGGTTGAGGCAGTTGACAGATTATGTAGCACAACATCTTGCACTCCTTCCATCCAGGCCCAGATTTTCAGAGTTCTATCACTGTAATCTCAGTCACACATTATCACTGTAATCTCAGTCACACATTCTTTTTTCTTGTACATCTTTTTGTACGGGTTTTTGTACGTCTTCGTCACTGTAATTCAGAATGAGGCAGAACCTCATTTTTAGAGTTAAACTCGCAGCACAAAGAAAAGGCTGTCAGGATGCTCAACTCACTACCTACTTTGGCCCCCCTTCCCCCCCTTCTGCCTCCCACACACACAAAGTTTGGATCCAAACACAGGTACCTGACCCCCACTCCCCAATACTGAACTCTGACACCCATTATTTTCTGTTACGCACTCATCACTTTAACTGCCCCATAAGCTCGTTCTAATTGCACTACTGTTTATAATTGCACCATTTATACCACAGACCTTAATCTGTGTGTGTTTTATGTCACTTTATTGTTAGTGTCTATTTAATTTCACACATTTCCTGTTTACCGTCTATTTAATGTTACTGCTACACAATGGGGTCTGAGAGTAACGCAATTTCAATACTCTGTATGTCCTGTACATATTGTAGTATTGACAATAAAGCTGACTTAATGACTTAATGACTTAATGGCTTCTTTGACACTCCCGTTGGGGTTTCGACCTGCAGCCTCATCCAAGGACATCTATTTTTGGAGTTTCTGAAGATGCATCTTCTCTCACTACTAAACCAGCAGATACTGTAGCATTCACTTTACTGTAATGTTTACTATACAACAAATCAACGTTACGTAACAACAGCAAAGAACTCACTTCCGAGTGGATAACACTGGCAGCGCTGCACTGTTACAACAGGATTTTGTTCTAATCCTGATATTTATTTGAGACTTATTTAACCAAGGTATTGGAGTAAACAGAACTTTTTCAGTGATCTTGTGATTAAACATCTAAATACAGAATTATTGTATACCTCTACATTTTTGTTGTTAACTAATGGTAAACTACATGTGCATAATGATAAACCTGTGTCCTACTAAAGTTCCTCTGATGCCATTAAATTCTATTTTAAACTGATCTTGCCTCTTCACCATTAACTGGACTGCGTGGGGTTAACATTAATTTTTTATCATTTGGCCTAATCATGAGCGTGCTCCAGCCAATCATTTTCACTCCAGTGTTTAATGAAAAACAAAAACTTTTTAAGTATTCTTTATTTTATCTGCTTACTGCTGTTATGTTAGTGCCAAGCTAACAATGCATTTACTTAGAATCACTGGGTTTCATATCACTTTTAGCAGCTGTATCGGTTTTTGAAAGCTGGAAAACGGTAAAAATGTAAACCTGAACCAGTATGTTCTTCAGTATGTGTTACCTCATCTGAGCCTCTTTCCTGGCTTCAGATGGATATCAGAGCAACTTCTATTCTAAAAAGTCTCAGAGTCATGGCTAGCTGCTCTGAGGTACCCAGTCATTTTAGCATGCTTTTTCTCTGCAGTAAAATCACACTGAAGCACGGTGGAGCTCCAAAACACGGCTCCATTTGTTATCAGGTTTAATACACTTGAATTAAACTTAAGATAAAATGAGCAGAATTGGGAAAGCCATGGGGTGGATAAAGCAGAGAGCAAAAAGGCAGTTTTCCTAACAGACGTTTTCATTCTCATACAAGCGTATTAATTTGGTGATGTGGAATTCTGTTCTGGAATTCTTCTCTTTATCTTTATATCTTCTGTCAGTTTCTAAGCAGCTTAAGAATGTATAAGCTTTATATATTAAATTCAAGTTTAATAGAACTTGATTACTTGATTTACTTGATTCAGTTAGGTATTTTTCAATTTGATTCATTCTTTATTTGCTCCATCACAGCAGAATGCAGGATGAGTAAACCAGGTCCCATGTAATTTTTGTACATTTGTTCACAGGAAAAAATCAGACATATATTTAAAAAATTGGATTTCACTCTGTCTAAACGTAACCTGAAAGAGAAACTTCAGTGCCTGCTCCCAGGGCATTAGAGTGTGTTGATAAGTGTCAACATTACACTGCAGCTGTGTTTGATGAGCAGGACAGTCATCCTCCAGAGGCTAAGCCAGACTGTAGAACAAAAGCTGTGGTCACAACCAGCCAACATGCCCTGTTCTCCTCCCATATGAGCATTTCAACTACTGCTGCAACCTTCATTGACACCTCCAACCAGCTCGGCATTTACATAGACCGTGGCATGAGGTCTGACGCGCTGACAGATTTCAATTCTTTTTACTTAGAGGTACTGACTGCAGTGCTGAATAGCCAAAAAAATCCAAAAAAAATTTTAAATGCAATTTCTGGATGGTCCAAAAGACTGGACTAGAACCTAGAAAATAACAAATTAAGGCCAGTGAGAAGCTAAACATAGACACTAGAGGCTGCCGGAGCCACACTGTAG